CAACAAAGAAGAGAAAAATATTTGTGGATATACAACACTTCCCTACTGTCTAGAGAAAATCAATATAGATGCCTACTGTCTAGCTAAAATGGAATCATAGCCTTGATCCTTAAAGAAACATAACAGTGGAAAGGTAAAGAAACATTCTTCCAGCAGCATGTGGGATGTTTCCACTGCCTGGTGTCTTTATATCAGCTGTACAAGATTCTGTTCTAAGAAACTCAGCCATGACCATCATGCAGTTGGGCACTACAGAAGTTGCAAATGACATGAATCATCCACATGTGGACATCTTTAAATATTCTCATTTTGGATTTTCTAAATAAGTTTTTTAGACTAATGCTTCTAGAAGTGTGAAACAATCCATAAATTATTTGGTATCATATCCAATACATACTTTATAAATCCACTGTAGAGAATCAAAGAGAGTTTAGATGAACCAAATCTGTCAACTTACTTGTTCAGATTTTTGTTTCTAATACTAACTCAGGCGATCAGTTAGCTTCTTAGGAGCCCACGTATACATAGCCAGCTGTTATTATTATTATTTTTTTTTGGACATGCAGAGTTAGTGAGAGAGAGAGAGACAGAGAGAAAGGTCTTCCTTTTTCCAATGGTTCACCCCCCAAATGGCTGCTACAGCCGGCACGCTGCGCCGATCCGAAGCCAGGAGCCAGGTGCTTCCTCCTGGTCTCCCATGTGGGTGCAGGGCGCAAGCACTTGGGCCATCCTCCACTGCCTTCCCGGGCCACAGCAGAGAGCTGGGACTACAACCTGGGGTGCCGGTTAGCCAGATGTTAAACTACCAGTTTTGTTATACTAATTCTTCTCCTTAGAAGTCCTCATGTTAACAAAGTACTTTGCGATAAAATCTAACACAATTTTCTTTGTGACTTTACATTTAAACATTTTAAAAAATTAATTAATTTTAGAGGCAGAGAGGAAGGAGGAGTGGGAGAGAGATTCTATCTGCTGGTTCAGTAATGAAATGCCTGCAATGGTCAAGATTGGGTTGAGCTGAGGCTGAGAGTTGATAACTCAATCTAGGTCTTCTATATGGGTGGCAATGACCCAACTACTTGAGTTGTCTCTGCTGCCTCCCAGGGTATACATTATCAGGAAGCTGGAATCTGGAGCTGGAACCCAAGCACAGATATGTGTGACCTCAGACTTTTTAACTGGTGATTTAAATGCTGGACCAAATGCCTGCTGTGACAGTACATAAGGATTTTTAAGTACCTCCAAGGAAGACAGGATCAACAAAGCAAAAGGAAGACTGAAAATTCTCATTGTATTGTAAAGAAATGAAGGGCAGGATTACTTTAGTGAGCCCTTCAACGCAGCAACAGAAGAAGCCAGAATTAGCAAAGGTTGGAAGGAAGATGGGAAAAGTGAAGAAATGAAGTAAAACACATTAAAAAAAATCTGGTTCTAGAAAGGAGAGAGTGTGAACAGTATGCAGAAGAGAAAGAAGACACAGGATAGGGATGGCTCAAGTTTAAAAAGAGACTTAAGGGGCAGGTGTCTGGTGCACAGGTTAAGTTGCTGCCTAGAATGCCTGCATATCACTTCAAAGTGCCTTGTTTGAGTCCCAGATCCTCGGCTTCTGATCCAGCTTCCTGCTAATGTGCACACTGGCAGGCAGCAGATGATGGCTATAGTATATGGATGGAGATCCAGGATCCTGGTTTGAGATTTGTCCAGCTCTGGCTGTGGCGTGTATTGGGGGAGGGAACCAGTGGATGGAAGATCTCTCTTTCTGCCTTTCATATAAAATGAAAAGAAATGGGAGGCCGGCACTGTGGTGTAGTGGGTGAAGCTGCTGCCTGCTAGTGCCAGCATCCCATGTGGGCCCTGATTCAAGTCCCAGCTGTTCCACTTTGGATCTAGCTCTCTGCTGTGGCCTGGGAGGGCAGTAGAGGATGGCTCAAGTCCTTGGGCCTCTGTACCCACATGGAGACCTGGAGGAGGCTCCTGGCTCCTGGCTTCAGATCTGCACAGTTCCGGCTATTGTGGCCATCTAGGGAGTGGGCCAGCAGATGGAGGACCTCTCTCTCTCTGCCTCTCTGTGACTATGCCTTTTTTATTGTATTTTTTAAACTTTTATTTAGTAAATATAAATTTCCAAAGTACAGTTGATGGATTATAATGGCTTTACCCCCCCATAATTTCCCTCCCACTCACACCCCTCCCATCTCCCACTCCTTCTCCCATTCCATTCACATCAAGATTCATTTTCAATTATCTTTATATACAGAAGATCGATTTAGTATATATTAAGTAAAGATTTCATCAGTTTGCACCCACACAGAACATAAAGTGTAAAATACTGTTTCAGTACTAGTTATAGCATTACTTCACACTGGACAACACATTAAAGACAGAGATCCCACACTGACACTCCTATTTATGGTGTCAGTAATTCCCTAGGCTCTAGTCATGAGTTGCCAAGGCTATGGAAGCATTTTGAGTTCACCGACTTCAATCTTATTCAGACAAGGTCATAGTCAAAGTGGAAGATCTCTCCTCCCTTCAGAAAAAGGTACCTCCTTCTTTGATGGCCCCATTCTTTCTACCGGGATCTCACTCACAGAGATCTTTCATTTAGTTTTTTTTTTTTTTTTTTTTTTTTTTTTTTTTTTTTTTTGGCCAGAGTGTCTGCTGCATGCCTAAATACTCTCGTGGGCTCTTCAGCCAGATCTGAATGCCTTAAGGGCTGATTTTGAGGCCAGAGTGCTGTTTAGGACATCTTCCATTCTATGAGTCTGCTGTGTATCCTGCTTCCCATGTTGGATCGTTCTCTCCCTTTTTTATTCTATCAGTTAGTTTATTCTATCACTAGTCTTGTTTGACTATCCCTTTCGAATAAAAAAATCCTTAGAAAATACTGAAAATAATGTTTTTAAAAATATTTTTAAAGGAAGAGACTTGAACTCAGAGTTTAGAAATAACAGAATAAAATTTTTTTAAATTTTATAACCAATATATTCATATTATATATAAACTTTTTCTTTTTGAAAATTTTATTTATTTGAAAAGTAGAGTTACAGAGCGAGAATATATCTTTCATCTGCTAGTTCAATCCCCAAATGGTCACATCAGCCAGGGCTGGGTCAGGCCAAAGCCAGGAGCCAGGGGCATCCTCTGGGTCTCCCACTTGGGGACAGGGGCTAAGTACTCAGGCCATCCTCTGTCACCTTCTTAGGCACACCAGTAGGCAGCTGGATGAGAACTTGAGCAGCCAGGACCGAGATGATGCCAATATGGGATGCCAGCACCACAGGCAGCAGCTCCACCTGCCATGCCACATGCTTGCCTCCTAAGTTTCTTAATATTACAGCTGAGCTGGCAATTTGGAACCATCATTAACTTACATTCTAAACCAAAGACACCAACTCAGTAAATCTAAATATATCATCTCCCATATGCCTGTCCTCAAAAGAATGTAGATAAAAAGTACACTAAAGGTAATTTATAACAGATGGACAACTCCTAACTTCATTGTTTAAAGTAAGATAACAGCAATAGAACTTTAAGAAGTTTCTTAGTTTGTATTTTATTCCTCATATACAACACAGTAATCTATTAGAAAATAGTACATGAACCATGATATTGATCTCTAGGAGTATGAAATAGTCTATATTCCTAAGCTCTGTGACTAGAAGTCTACATGTATAAAATATTTTGGGAAGCAAGTATTTAATACAGGCATTTTCTTTATTTTTTGAGATCAAAGCTAAAATATCAATGTTACCATTTAGTTCCAAACTAGGAATAAGGTACTTAGTCAAATCTAAAAAGCAGATGATAGCAAAATTAATTTCTGAAATAGAAAATGGGAAATTGACAAGAAGTTCCTGATGGTTATTGTCCAGGTTCATAAGAAAAACACTGGAAAAAATGCCAGCTTAATGAATTCCAATGAACCTGTTAATTTATTAAAAATGTTATTCTGACCTATTTAAAAGTCTGTTATTTCAAAAAATAATTATATTATTTATTTGAAAGGCATACAGAGTATGGCAGAAAGATTTGCCAATTTTTGGTTCATTCTCCAAATGCCCACAGCAGCCAGGGGCTGGGCCACATTGGAGCCAGGAGCCACAAACTCAATCCAGGTTTCTCACTGGGTATCAGGGGCACAGCAACTAGAGCTGCCACCTGTGCCTCTCAGGGTGCACGTTAGGACTCCATACACAGGAGTAGAGCTGGGACTCTAACTAGGCACTCTCATATGGGTTGCAGGTGTCCCAAAAGACATGCTAACCACTAGGCCAAGCACCGGATCCAAGTTAGAATTTAAAACTACTGAATAGGCTACAGTGAAGCTACTTTTTAAAAGGTGAACCCAAATCCAGTTCAATGAAGGGAGCAAAGTATACACCATAGGTGAAAACAATACTCAAAATAATCTAGTATCAGGAATATCCCTGGAGTAAGGCCTACATCCAAGCAGAAGAAGATGGTGGGCAGCATAACTTCTGGAGAGATGTCGGCAGGGCTATAAAGTTTCTAATTTCAGACTTAGAGTATCTCCTCTGTCTATATTCCTCTACTCATGTATTTTTCAAAAACCTCTGAAGTCATGATTGACATATGACACATTACTCTTACGCAACAAGTCTATGTAAGTTGCAAAAATTATCAAATATCTAAAAATAGATGACACACATTTATTTTAATGACCAAAATGCAAAGTTGATTGTATGAGTTTTGACAAAAATGTCACCAAAATTGCTGTTCCTATACAATAATTTCTCAGAAAAACAAGTGTAGATCAGACTTAAACTCGGAATATGTATAAAACCTCTTTAAGGAATTTACAGTTGAAAGCCAAAGGATTGAGTGTTTTTAAGGTAAGTTTAATATTATTGGATTTCCTGAACCTTCCAAAAATATAAAGTTATATTTATACTCAATGACAGCTTAAAGTAAGTTTATAATTTCTTTATCTCCCCAACTGAAATCTTATACTTTATGAAGAAAAGATAATTACTTACCGCTATAATATCTAATGTATTATCACAGACCTTTCGGATTTCATTATTTTTATCATGCATCAGGTCTATGAGATATGCTGGAGCCTCTGAATAAAAATAGTTAAAGACACACATTGCATTTTAGATTTTGGTTGTTCAATTACATTAGAAATCCCCACATCTCTCTAATTTTAACTTCTAAATTGAAATTTGACTTTACATTTTAAAATGAAGTCACTGATGCAAGATGAGAAGAAACTTATTTCAATGGTTTCAAGAAATAGGAATAGGAGACACAAAAAAGAAAAATCTAGATACAAATAAGTAAACTGTTTTTGTCTTCTATTGAATTCTTTACTTGGTGGGGGGTTAATCTTATGATTATAAAAATAAACTGAAAGTATGTCATTATAAAAATTAAAAGAAAGAAGAAAGGAAGGAAGGAGGGTGAGAAGACTGGCAAGAGGGAGAGTTGGGTAGGAGGGTTCACTATGCTCCTAAATCTGTATATATGAGAAACATGAAATGTGTCATCTTCTATAAATAAATAAAAAAGGCCATATTCTTGAAAATGTGCAAATAATTGAAGAAGGAGCTCTAGAGTTGTATAGTTACAAAAGCTTTCTTGATCTATTTTTGCCTTCCTTCATTATGAAAGGAAATTAATTCAGATGAATAGAGGAGTGGATTCAAAAAAGGTAATAAACAGTGAATTGGTCAATATATTGTAAATTTTATATAAGCAATGTTATTTTTTAAAAGCAACAAGTAAAATAATGATTAGTTTTGAGATGTTATAAAAATGTTATAAAAGTGAGGTGAAATTATTGTGCTAGACAGCAAGTAACATGAAATACAGATCAACGGGATGTGTGAGCTGCAAGAAAGAGATTTTGGAGATATAAAATACTTAGCATATAGTTGGTAGCTGCATTAAGAATAGTCCTAGGAAGCTCTGATACTTAAATTACGTTCATGACAAGGAAGTTCTGGTAAGCTTGTTAAATTTCCTTGAACCACAACCTGACAAGTTAATAGATTCTTCCCATTACAGATTTGGGGTCAACAGCGTTAATGGAAAATAGTTGCCTTCTATGTTTATTCCAAAGTTTGGTGTGTTTTTAACATTATTTTCACATTTGCAAGACAAAAAACACAAAGATGCAACTCTAGGAATATGTGAAATGTCATTATCTAATGTAAACATTGAAAGGATACGTGTTTCCTTGATTATAACATCTCTGGTGGCTTGGTGGAAAACCATCTGGTAGAACACATAAATTATCTGACACACAAATTCATCATCTTCTTGTTGAGCTAAATGAAAGGAAACACAATTTCAAATGAAAAAATATTACGTTTACATACCAATTGAAAAACATTGAGGGGAGTCCTGGAGAAGGAAGAAAAACTGAAATAGGGAAACAAGTACATTTAGTTTAAATTAGTTATAAGATTCAGTAACATACTATCTATATCTAAGGTGTTCATTTTAAATTACATAGCCACGATCAGTCAAGAAGTTTCATAAATTCTGCTGTAGATTTGTCAGTTATGTTACTTTGAAATACAAAGAAAAATATGAAGGAATATCATTTATGAATAGGAATATCACTTATGAGTTTTTGGGTAACTATTTGAAATAGGTTCTATCAAAACATCAGTGAGAACCCAGGAAGAACTGAGACAAGACTGGTGAAAGGGAACAGAAACAGGTTTTCTCTATTATCGTTATCAATAGATACAAAGAAACTGATTAAATTAGCTTCTGTTCTAATGTAAAACAGTAACACTTAGCACCAATGGATTTTTTGTTTACATAAGAATTTTTTTTGAAAAATTCTAACATAAAATAAATCTGGTCCTATTTTGTCTCACAAATGTTGATTTCACATGAGAAAGGAATCACATCTTTTAAATTCTAAGCTTTTGGTAGAAATTGGACTATTTATATAAAGGCATTTAATTTTATTGAATAAGGCTGGCACTGCGGCTCCCTTGGCTAATCCTCCGCCTGCGGTGCCGGCACTCCGGGTTCTAGTCCCGGTCAGGGTGCCAGATTCTGTCCCGGTTGCTCCTCTTCCAGTCTAGTTCTCTGCCATGGCCCGGGAAGGCAGTGGAGGATGGCCCAAGTACTTGTGCCCTGCACCGGCATGGGAGACCAGGAGAAGCACCTGGCTCCTGGCTTCGGATCAGCGCAGCGTGCCGGCCGTAGCGGCCATTTGGGGGATGAACCAACAGAAGGAAGACCTTTCTCTCTGTCTCTAATTCTGCCTGCAAAAATAAAAAATTTATTGAATAAAGTTCACAAAAATTAAGCTTTACAAAAGGCATAAAATAATAAGCATTTTAGTTTCAGTCTGATTGTGAAAAGTGTTTTGTAATTACAAAAGCTAAGAATAACATAACTGACTAGTTGATATTCATTGATTAATACATAGCACCAAAGGATAATTACTTATAGAATCCAATTTTATGTACTGGTAATAAAATTTGATCACGAATAGTGTATTTTGCTATCAATTCTTGGCAACAGTTCACTGACATATAAGAAACAGATTTCCAGGTCAACACAGTATTCATCTAGTTCTGTGGAGAAAACTCTGGGCTTCTTAACATCCAGTCTACCGCAAATGATCTCCTTCACTAACTCACCAAAGTAGTATTCTCCAAAAATACATGGACTCAAATTATACTTTTTACTTTTTAATTTAATTTACTTTTGAAATTATTAACATGTAATACTTATACATCTTCTTGGAATGCAGGGCAATTTTTCAATATACGCAGGCAACATCCCCACATTTGTATCCTTCCTCCATGCCTGGAGTCTGCTAGCTCCTCTTGTCCAATTTTTTAATACAATATACAGTACATTGTTGTGAATTATAACTGCCCCCCATGCTATGAAATACTAAAACCTATTATTTCTATTTAAGCATATTTTAGTAGCCTTTACCTCATCTTCCTCCCTCCAACCTTCCTGTTCTCTTTTGATCACTACTCTAAGTTCAGATTAACTTTTCTTAAACTTCTGCATATGAAAGAACTTGTAGTATTTGTCTATCATTTCACTTAACATAATCATTATCTTCCATCCATCCTGTTGCAAATATCAGGATTTCCTTTTTAATGGGTGAATAATATTCTAATGTGTATTATACACCATATTTTACTTTTCCTTTCATCCATCAGTGGATACCTAGGCTGTTTCCATATCTTGGCTGCTGAAAATAGTGATGCATTAACCATGTGAGGGATTTCATACACACACACACACACACACACACACACACACACATATACCCAGAATTGGAATGGTTGGTTCATCTGGTAGATGTTTCTTGAGGAACCTCTCAACTGTTCTCCATAATGGATATACTAATTTGCATTCCCATTAACAATGTATAGAATTTCCTTTTTTCATGTTTGTCAATTTTGTTATTTTTTGTCTTTCTAGCGATAGCCATTTTAACTGGAGATGATACCTCATTGTGGTTTTTATTTTCATTTCCCTGATGGCTATGATATTGACCACTTTTACATATGTTTGTTGGTCACCTGTATTTCTTCTCCATTTCTTAATTATATATCCGTGTTTAAGTTTTTTGAGTTCCTTATACATTCTTTTTAAGAATTATTTATTTGTTTGAAAGTCAGAGTTACAGATACACACACACACACACAGAGAGAGAGAGAGAGGGAGAGGGAGAGAGGGAGAGAGAGAGAGAGAATCTTTCATCTGCTGGCTCACTCCCCAGATGGCCACAATGGCTGGGAGTGGGCCAGCCCAAAGTCAGGAGGCAGGAGGTTTTTCTGGGTCTTTCACGTGGGTCAGGAGCTGAAGCACTTAGGCCACTTTCTGCTGCTTTTCCCCAGCTGTTATTAGGGAGCTAGAATAGAAGTGAAGCAGGTAGGCTTCAAATCAGTGATCAGATATGGTATTTTTCCATTCACTGGTTCATTCTGCAGATGGCTGCAAACAGCTAGGCCTGGGCCAGGTCAAAGCCAGGGACCAGTAAATTCATCTGGGTCTCCCACTTGGGTGGCAGGGGCTCAAGTACTTGGGCCATCATCCTCTGCTTTTCCAGGCACATAGCAAGGACCTGTTTCAGAAGTAAAGCAGCCAGAACCTTTCTCTCTGCCTCTCTCACTATCTATATCTCTACCTGTCAAAAAAAAAAAAAAAAAAAAAAAAAAGTAAAGCAGCCAGGTCTCAAACCAGCACTCAGATATGGGATGCCAGTGTCACAAGTGGCAACTAAACTGCTACGCCACAACACTGGTCCTATAGTTCCTTAATATTCTTGATATCATCCTTTGTCAAATGAATACTTTGCAAATATTTACTCCCATTCTGTTGGTTGTCTGTTCACTTTGCTGTTCCTTTGCTGTGCAGTAGCTTCTTACTTTCATATAATCTCATTTGTTTAGCTTTGCCTTTGTTGCCTGTGCCTTTGGTTTCTTATCCAAAAAATTATTTCCTATATCAACATATTAAAGTATTTTCCCTATGTTTTCTTCTAGTAGTTTTATGGTTTCAGGTCTTATACTTGAGTTTTATCCATTTTGAACTGACATTTTTTGTCCATACAACAGAAAAAATGTACAGATTCAACGTAGTTCCTATCAAAATACTCATCAAAGAAGTATTAAAAAAAATCCTAAATTTCATACGGAAACACAAAGTCCCTGAATAGCCTAAGGATTTTTGAGCTAAAAAGACAAAACTGTTGGCATCACTACATCAGATTTCAAAACTTACTACAGAGCTATAGTAACCAAATCAACATGCTACCAGAATAAAAACAGACAACATAGTATAATGGAAGACCAGCAACTCAAGAACTGAATCCACACATCTACAGCCAACTGCCTCTTGACAAAGTAACCAGAAGCACATGATGCAGAAAAGACTTAAATGGTGGTGGGAAAACTGGATATCCACATGCAGAAGACTGAAACTTGACCCCCTACTCTTCTTCTTCTTCTTCTTTTTTTTTTTTTTTAACATGAACGAAACAGATAACTACATTTAAAAAATTTTCGAAGATAATTTTTTTTAGTGAAGAATATTGTGCCATATATGTCCTAGGAGATTTGAGGAATTCGTAATGCCCTAGAATTAAATCTTCAATCCCAAGATCATTGTCTAATTAAAAATCTTCCCATTATCCCTGTTACTCTCTTGGTATAGTGCTTCCTCATTCAACACAAATTTTTTGGTCTTGAAAATTTATATATTTCTTCTTTTTTTTGACAGGCAGAGTGGACAGTGAGAGAGAGACAGAGAGAAAGGTCTTCCTTTGCCGTTGGTTCACCCTCCAATGGCTGCCGTGGCCGGCGCGCTGTGGCCGGCGCACCATGCTGATCCGATGGCAGGAGCCAGGTGCTTCTCCCGGCCTCCCATGGGGTGCAGGGCCCAAGCACTTGGGCCATCCTCCACTGCACTCCCTGGCCATAGCAGAGAGCTGGCCTGGAAGAGGGGCAACCGGAACAGAACCCGGCGTCCCGACTGGGACTAGAACCCGGTGTGCCGGTGCCGCAAGGCGGAGGATTAGCCTAGTGAGCCGCGGCGCCGGCCTGAAAATTTATATATTTCTTAAAGAGTATTATATAGCTTGTGGGTGTGAGAATTTCATGTTGGACAACATCAAAAAATAATAAAAGCATTGTGAACTGGCTCTGGCAGCTCACTGTCAGCTCTGTTGATTAAATCACTGTGATAGTAATTCCTGGACACAGGTCATTTTGCTCCAACTTTGTGCAACTTTTCATTCCTAATCTGTCAACTACACAGACTCTTCTAATTACTGTTAATCTAAAAATGCCTGGCTGTGACATGGGTGTACCAATTAAACACATATACACCACAATTCTGAGAAGGAATACTTATATGGGTGCCTTATTTCTAGATGATTAAAGTTCAACACATCAAATTATAAAAGGACTCTAAGGAGAAAAATGTGCAAACGTCTTAAGTAGGCACTTGATTTTAATGGCCATAAATAAATGGTCACTAAATACAAACACGTGCTTGACTTCATTAGTCATCAGGGAAATACAAAATCAAACTACAGTGAGACACCACTACAGGAAGGCTGCAATTAAAGGGACTAATGACCCCCCCAAAGCTGGTGGTGATGTAGAATCACTGCAACATTTTTTTACATTATAGGTAGGAATGAAACTCGGCACAACTACACTGGAAAATAGATTTACACCATTTACAAAAAATAAACATAGGCCAATATTATGTCCCAGCAATTCTACTCCTAGGTATATATCTCATATAAATGAGTACATATGTTCACCAAATGAAAGATTTATGAATGTTCATTGGAGCATTATTTAAAACACACTTTCTCCTCCCCTGAAAACTCAACTCTACTATTTATCAATAGATAAAGGATAAATAGTGGTAAATTTGTACAAATGCAGCAATGAAAGTAAAAATTTCTATATATCAAACAGATGAATCTCAAAATATAATGTAGGACAACATGAATCATATTTCACTTAAAGTTTGAAATCAAGTCAAACAAATATGTTGCTGATAAAACAGAGGTAGTAACGACTGGGAGAAGAGGGAGGGGTACTTTTAGGATGCTGGTGATGTTTCATTTCTTCATGTGGCTGATAACAGCACAGGTGTGCTCACTTTGAAAACATACTGAGGCATGCATTTTTAACTTGTGTATTTTTCTGTGTGTTATACTTAAAAAGCTATTAAAATTAATACAAAATGCATATACATATTATACAAGATACAGAAAGGACTGAGATGAGTATGTTCTTTCATATATCACATTAGCATATAAACATTTTATTTATTTTTCATTTTATTTGCAAGGCAGAGAGAGAGAGAGACAGGCAGAGACAAAATCTTCCATCCTTTGGTTCATTCTCCAAATACCCACAATAGACAGGAATGGGCCAGGCCAAAGCCAGGAGCCTAGAATTCAAAGTAGGTCTTCCAACAAGGGTGGCTGGGGCCTAAATAACTATACCATCATCTGTTGCCTCCCAGGATGCATGTTAATAAGCAGCATGGTACGTGTAGTAACCTGGATTTGAACTAGGCACTACCATTATGGGATGTGGGCATCCAAAGTGGGGACTTACACTGCACCAAACACCAGATTCCATTAGTTACTTTTAGTAAAAATTTTTTTGACAGACACATAAGAATGTACATGTTTATGGGGTACTATAAGAATGTTTCAATACATGTTTACATTGTGTGATATCCAATCATGGTAGGTAAATATATCCAGCTTATCATTTAAACTTTATGGTAAAAACAGTCAAAATCCTATTTTCTAGGTTTTTTTTAATAAAGAGAATTATATAATATATTAGCATGACCTATATTCACCCTAATGGGAAAACAGAACTCCAGAACTTTATTAGATACTTTTAATGAGTAAGATCCTAGAGAGGCCGGCGCCACAGTTCACTTGGCTAATCCTCCACCTACAGCGCCGGTACCCTGGGTTCTAGTCCCAGTTGGGGCGCCAGATTCTGTCCCGGTTGCTCCTCTTCCAGTCTAGCTCTCTGCCATGGCCTCGGGAAGGCAGTGGAGGATGGCCCAAGTGCTTGTGCCCTGCACCTGCATGGGAGACCAGGAGGAAGCACCTGGCTCCTGGCTTCGGATCGGCGCAGTGTGCCGGCCGTAGCAGCCATTTGGGGGGTGAATCAATGGAAGGAAGACCTTTCTCTCTGTCTCTCTCTCTCACTGTCTAACTCTGCCTGTAAAAAAAGAAAAAAAAAAAAAAAGATCCTAGAGAACTTGTATCTCATACAATAATATTAGACCCAGATAGATTTTGTATGTAATATGAAGAATAATGAGCCCTGGCCATTGAAGAGAAATACAAATATGAGGGGAAGATTCTAGGCCTGCACTGTCAAATATTGTAGACAGAAACCACCGCAGCTAATTAAATTAAGTTAAAAACTCAGTCACACTTCAGGTACTCAACAGCTGTATGTGGGGGCTGGTACCGTGGGTGAAGCCACTGCCTGCCCTGCCAGCATCCAATATGGGTGGAGGTTCGAGTCCCAGCTGCTCCATTTCCTATCCAGCTCTCTGCTAATGCACCTGGGAAAGCAGTGGAGGATTGCCCAAGTTCTTGGGCCCAGGGCACCCAGGTGGGTGACCCAGAAGAAGTCCTGGCTCCTGGCTTCAGATTGGCAGAGCCCCAACTGGTTTTTTTTTTTTTTTTTTTTTTGTGGCCATTTGGGGAGTGAATCAACATATGGAAGATCTCTCTCTCTCTCTTCCCTTCTGTCTCTGTAACTCTACCTTTCAAATAAATAAATAAATAAATAAATAAATCTTTAAAGAAGCAACAACTGTATGTATTGGTTAGTACAGACACTGACATTTTCATCATCCCAGAAAATTCAAAGGAGAACACCTTCTGGAACTCGAAAGAAATAATGATGTTTGGAATATGCTTCCAAGTGAACTGTCCTACTAAGAAACAATATATAAAAAGCATGCTTTGCATAAGATAGGAGATTCAACTCAAATCAACAAAATGTTTAACAGAAAGAAGAAATGATAGACTCTCAACTGTTTAAGGCTAGTGAAAGGAGGGCAGAATCTGTAAAACTGGTGACAAATTACTTTTTTAACTTTTTAAACTTTGCAACCTGAAGTTCTTTGATATTATTCCATCTAAAACCTAATAATGAAATATTTAATTCCTTTTTGTTAACTATATAGATTTCTACAATTGATGAAACAAAATAAATAACATTTCATGATTGCAGATTCTGCATTTTATAGTTAAAAATTTAAACAACCTCTTTACACATCAACATGAAAATAAATCAAGTTACCATTTAGTAATTCAATCAGTGCAGGGATTATCCCAGATTTAGCTAGTAAGGCAGCACAGGAGTCATCCATAGATACGGTTCCAATCATTATCACCACTTCTAAAACAAGGTCATCCTCTGCAGCACCTAGTAAAGTCAACACGTGGAAAATTGTCACTGAAATGTCAAGTCCCAAATCTACTTAAGTTACCAATGTTTAATTGTGCAGAAATGAGACAAAAAGCTATTAAATTAGTTCCTGTGAATTCTTGAGACACTTCTTAACTGTTCTTTTCCAAATTTCCATTTTTTTATTTTATTTATTTTTTAATTTAATAAATATAAATTTACAAAGTACAACTTTTGCATTGTTGTGGCTTTTTCTCCCATAACCTCCCTCCTAAATTTTATGACGGTGAGTAGCAGTCACGGAAAACAGAAATAATTCCTTGAAAATGCAACTGAATGACAATGTAGACACAGAAATTAAGACTCATTTAAATGCTTCAAATAGTTTTGATTGTGTGTGTGTGTATAAGAGTTAAAAGTTAAAAAAGCAAGAAAGGTAGGATAGGGAAGGGAAACTAATGTTAAGAAAACATGTTAGCAAGAAGAGAAGAGAACATACACATAAAAAGAGACCCAGTAACCACTGTCTGGGAGAACACAGGTGTGGGAAGAAAATGCTTTGCCTGGTGTTATAGGTACATAACACTGCTCTAGCAGCCTTATCCACAACAGAACAAAACGATGTAGTGATTATGCAAAAGTAAAATACTCAGCACAAACCGGGTTTTAGTTTATCCTTCAGATATGGAACCAATTTGTACTCCTTAAGAACCAATTCCCAATCTAAGTCTGGAATGGTCAAATTTGCAAGAGTTCCCAAACATTCAATCACAAACTCCTCCTCTTCATCATTAGAGATCTGGGCTGCAAGGTCCCCAACATAATCCTGAATAAAACAGAATTTCAATATAAATTTAAAGCATTATGTGTTAGAAATAATTTGATAATTTAAACCCTAGGAAAAAATAAATATCAAATGTGATTATCTTATTTTAATAATCTTGACTCAAATTGCTAACAGAGACTGTGATGAACTGGCTTAAGGCAAGAAGACTGTAGGGTGTACTGGATTAGGGGTAGGGGTCACAAAACAAAAATAGCAACATTTAAACATAGGTTGAGATATCTAAGACCTACACTTGGGAGGAAGTTCATAACAGAAGAACCAAATAGGGTTATAAATTAACATTTTATGAGAGACCAGTAAATGTTATTTTCTCAAATGTAGCAATTTAAAGCTTAAATTTCCAATCTATTTGAATAGACAGAAAGCCAACAAACTATACTTACAATGAACAAATTTTTAGTTGGTCCATCATGCTGGGAAATGTTTCTAATCATCTTCATCAGTAATGGATCTTTGAACTTCAGAGCCCTCTTCATGAGCATCTTCAGCCCATTTCCTGAAACAGAAAACAGAAAATTCCCCCAATGAAGGTTAACTTAAGTTTAATATTTGTTTACTTCTTAAAACAAACCATTTTATAGCCAATAAAATGCATAAATCTCAAGTGTACAATCTGATTAATTTAGATAACTACATTCACTTAGGCAACTCCACATATCAACGTACAGAATACTTCCTTTCACTTCAGAAAGTCCCCTTGAGTCCCTTCTCAATCACTCCTATTCCCCAGGTAAAATCACTTCTTTTCACTTCCTCTTCTTCATATCTTTTTTTCTTAAATATAGATTAGTTTTGTGTGTTCTAGAACTTTGTGTAAATACAATCATATTTTTTGTGTCTTAAATACCTACCACAAATTTAAAATACATACTACTGACCCAGAAAAACTGTACTTCTAGGAATTTATCCTATGGATATAAAAATGGAAGTGTGTAAAGATTCAGAGAAATTATAATCACTGTAACATTGTTTGTAAAACACGATATGTAGCAACAAACTAAATATCCAAAATTGGCAAACTCTTTTAATGGACTATTTCATAGCTATTAATAATTATGCTTCAGAAATGTATTTAACCACATGAAGTGATGTTCAAGATATCTCACATGATGTAGAATCACATTTTTATTTGTACATATACAAAAGCTTTATACCATACTTTTACCTATGGTTATTCCCAGATGGTAGGAATAAAATTTTTAAGCTTTTCCCTCTTTCCTTATTTGTACTTTTATAAGAAAAAAAACTACTGAACAAACTCTGAAACACCATATTCTACAGCAAGCCATTTTACAAAGATATTACAGTAACAATAACCTAGAATACCTGTATGTTATCACCTTAGATTTTTTTTCAACTTTTATTTAATAAATATAAATTTCCAAAGTACAACTTTTGATTATAGCGGCTTTTCCCCCCATAACCTCCCACTCGCAACCATCCCATCTCCCACTCCCTCTCCCATCCCATGCTTCATCAAGATTCATTTTCAATTATCTTTTTTTCCCTTTATTTTCTTGAAAGATTTTTTTTACTTTTATTTAATAAATATAAATTTCCAAAGTACACTTTATGGATTACAATGGCTCCCCCCCCATAACTTCCCTCCCATCTCCCGCTCCCTCTCCCATTCCATTTGCATCAAGATTCATTTTCAATTATCTTTATATACAGAAGATCAATTTAGTATATATTATTTCAACAGTTTGCACCCACACAGAAACACAAAGTGTAAAGTACTGTTTGAGTACTAGTTATAGTGTTAATTCACATTGTACAACACATTAAGGACAGAGATCCTACATAAGGAGTAAGTGCACAGTGACTTCTGTTGTTGACTTAGCAAACTGACACACTTGTTTATGGTCAGTAATCACCCTAGGCTCTTGTCATGAGTTGCCAAGGCTATGGAAGCATTTTGAGTTTGCTGACTCCGATCTTATTTAAACGAGGTCATAGTCAAAGTGGAAGTTCTCTCATCCCTTCAGAGAAAGGTACCTCCTTCTTTGATGGCCTGTTCTTTCCACTGGGATCTCACTTGCAGAGATCTTTCATTTAGGTGTGTTTTTTTTTTTAATTTTTTAATTTTTTTTTGCCAGAGTGTCTTGGCTTTCCCTGCCTAAAATACTCTCATGGGCTCTTCAGCCAGATCCGAATGCCTTGAGGGCTAATTCTGAGGCCAGAGTGCTGTTTAGGACATCTTCCATTCTATGAGTCTGCTGTGTATCCTGCTTCCCATGTTGGATCGTTCTCTCCTTTTTAATTCTGTCAGTTAGTATTAGCAGACATTAGTCTTGTTTATGTGATTCCTTTGACAATCCTTTCATTATGATCAGTTATGAACTGAAACTGATCACTTTGGTACATGCCACCTTGATGGGATTGAATTGGAATCTCCTGGCACGTTTCTAGCTCTACCATTAGGGGTAAGTTCGAGAGAGCATGTATCACCTTAGATGGTAATAAGACTGTTCTGCAATAGACTATTCTGTAATAGACTATTCATTCTATCTAGGATTTTTTACAAATAAACTTTCTGGACAGGTGCTGTGGTATAGCAGGCTAACCCACTGCTTGCAGCCCTTGCAACCTATATGGGTGCCAGTTCAAGTTCCAGCTGCTACACTTCCTGATCCAACTCCCTGTCAACTGCCTGGGAAGCAGTAGAGGATAGCCCAAGTGCTTGGACCCCAGATGAAGCTTCTGGCTCCTGCCTTCAACCTAGCCCAGTCCTGGTCATTGTGGCCATTTGGGGAGTGAATCAGTGGATGGAAGATTGATCTCTCTTTGTTTCTCCCTCTAACTATGCCTTTCAAATAAATAAATAAATCTTAAACAAAATTCAGCTTATAAGTGGTTTATAAAAATGTTTCTGAAGGGTAACTGTCTTCATTCATGATGCAAGACTATTCTATCTGTAGCTATTTAAAAAAGGATTTATAAACTCACTGTAATTCATTATTTTTATGATTAAAAATTATTAACATAAAGAGAACAGATTCTTGTATTTCATAGGTACAATTCTAAGAAGACAACCATTCTTCCCATACCTCCTTCTCTCCTTCCCTCAATCCCCCTCCTTCTTTCTTTTTTAATTTTTACAAAAACATATTTTGAATTTACTTTATAATCACAGATTTAATGTAATACTAACCATAATATTCCCCAAGTAAAAAGTAGAAAGATACACTACTACACAGGAGTATAGATAAGGGCTAAAATAATAATCAAATCATAAGATGTTTGTTTTATCCTTATAAATTTTTTTGTATTCTATTTTAACTAGCACATATCAGAGAAAATATATATTTGTCTTTTGCAACTGGCTTATTTTGCATTTATTTTGTTGCAAAAGACAGAATTTCATTCCTTTTTTGTGGCTGAGTAGTATTCTATAGTGTATAAATACCACATTTTCCTTATCCAGTCATCAGTTGATGGACATTTGGGTTGATTCCACACCTTAGCTATTGGGAAGTGAGCTGCATAAACATGGGCTTACAAATAAGTCTTTCATATGCTGATTTCATGTTGTTTGGGTAAATTCCCAGAAGTGGGATGGGTGAGTCATATGGTAGTACTAGTTTCAGATCTGAGGAATCTCCATATGTCTTCCATAACAGTTTTATTAGTTTCTGTATGTCAGTTATCATATCCTGAAGAGATGATCTATGAAAATCAAAGGTACTAACCTTCGCAGATAAGTTGTACATTCCTCTTATTAGCAGCAAGATTAATGCAGAAAGAAATGAGCTCCAAGTCAATTCGTTCATCTGAACATTCAAAGAGCATCTTCATTAGCTAACAAGAAGCACAGGGCATATTTTACTCAAAAAATAAAAATAAAAACGAAAACCAGAAACAGTATCTTACAATGTGTCAGACTGTACATTGGAAACAATGTAATATGGTTTATATTACAACACATAAAACTGGCAGGCTTTCATTGTTCAATAACTGAATGAACAGTTAATGAGGTACTAGTGCTCTGTATGAAACATAAAGTTTCAACTGACAGCCGTAAGAGAAATATTAGAAAGAAAAGAATTGATGCAAAGGTCACACAATGCAGGAAATAGTACGATTCTTCTGAAAAAGAAAATTAAAAGAAAGTGAAGGTGACTGGAGTAAGGGAAACAGTACTGAGAAATTAAGTAAAAGCCAGATCAGTCTAGGCTGTGAAATACATATTAAAGATATTGGGCTTTACCCTAAGGATAAGTAGGAAATAATAGGATAAGGTCTGTGTCTGAGATTTGGTAGCAAATACACTAAAAACAGGACAAAAAACTGCAGGAAACCATATAGAAGGTAAGAAGAAAAGTCCAGGTGAAATCATGGCACGCAAGGACCATCTAGGGCAATGGGGATATTGATATAGGATTTATTAGAGACGAACTTAGGAAAGGGAATCAAAATGACACTTAAAAATTGATTAGACATTGTGGGTAAAGGAGAGAAGGAATAAGAAGACTCCCAGGATTCTGCACTGAGCAACTGCATGGATGGTGATGTTAATAACTACGAGGAAAAATAGAGAAAATCTTAAGGGAAAGACAGTTATTTTGTACTTAGATATGTCGACTTAAACTGCATAGGTGGTAAGTCGAATGTAGATAGTCAGTAGGAAATTATGGCTGCAGGACTGAGTTTAGAAGATGCCTGGATTAGAGGTATAAATTTGGAGATTGTCATATATGGTTGATAGCTACAGGCTAGATTCAATAATTTGGACATGGTGTGATTAGAGCAAAGAACTCTAATGATAAGAAAAAGGGAAGGAGGCTCTGAAAGCAGTATTCAGAAAGGTAAGAAGGAAAAGATAGGCCACCTCTGTCATTTAGCAGTAATCTAGATTTGTCATGTTGAGGACAGTTGTTACAATAAATGGGAAATGAAGAAGTTTTATGCCATAGCCTGGAAAAGCTAGTTTTCTCTTTCTGATCTATCACCAATTAACTTAGCATATATTAAATAAAGATTTTTTTCTTAAGTTGCCAGCAACATGTTGAAGTTATTCCTGTTATTTATAGCCTAAAATTTTCTTTTTAGAATAACATGCCTTCATGAAGCCAACATAGTGACCCCCTCCAGATATATTTTAGAGCCCATTCTGTTAAATCTTGTTTTTATTACTCTCTGTTAGTTCCAGATGACTTTTGAGTTTCAAAAAGGATACACAGTCAACACATAAAACTCGTATTTCTATGAGTTAACAATGAACAACTGGAAATCAAAATTAAAAACACAGTACCACTCCAATAAAATGTACTGATCTGTATGCTGAAAACTACAAAACTGTAGCAGGTGAATGGTGATCAGACCCCTTCCCAGAGGGCAGTTCTTCAACCACAAATTTTGCCACTACTGGAATCTCTTGGTAAAGGATCATAAACACTGAATAGTGCTACAAAATAAAAAGATTCTATGGCAGAATAAAATAATTTTAATTTACTGGATATATATAGTTAAATTTCACCACCTATCTGCCATTATAAATAAAATCTCCAATAAAAATTAAATTACAAATAACTCAAAGTGTAGATAGCATTCTTCTAGGTATGTTTTTATACTGTAATTCAAAACCTACTATAGATTTCTTCTATATTTTTACTGATAAAATGCTACATTCAAGTAATGCTTTAAAAGAAAGCAAAACATTTATTGATAACAAATAATTACTTTAAATTAACTCGTAGTATTAAATTGCCCTTTAAAAATGGGGTTACAGGTGGTTTATTTAGAAGGTGAGTATTTTATAAAAAGTAATTTCCAAGTTAAGTATTGTGCAGAAATAATCAGGCATAGGGTTTTTCAAAAAATAATGGATGTTTTAAAAACCCAACACCACCCCAAAGTCAAAGGAAATTAGGAATAAATAAATAAATTCAAGTGGAATGCACTGATATAGAATTAATTTTTCATAAGAAAGAGAAACACTTCAGTTTTAATTAAAGAATTCAAATTTAAAAAATAGTTTAGTTCAAACTCTACATGTAACATTATATCTTTAATTTGATTGCTACCCATGGCACTTCAAAAGTAAGTGTAATTGCTGACAACTAGGAAATACTAAAACTAGATTTGTTCTATTTTAACTATATCCATTGTCATCTTTTACTAATTTAACAGGAAGGCACTAAAAAGGCTTCAGCCTGTGCAATGAAGAGGCAATAGTGTTCAATCAGACAAGTCCCATATTGGGTATCAGATACCAGAGACTCATGACTGAAATCACTGTGTCTAGACTCTCTGGCACCTGACTTCACTTATTTACCAGTGACCAGAGGCCAACCCCCACAGCTCTCTGTGTTCACATACACCTCCGCCACCCCCACTCCCCTACCCAAACATCTTTGAATGATTATGCCAGAACTGTGCATGCCTCAGGAATCTCTTCTGACTGGCTACTCCCTAACTCTCCTGTTTGAAGTGATGCTCTGGTTTCTGAACTTCAGCAGATAATGGCAGGCAAGAGCAAAGGGGGCTGTCAGAAAGGACGTTTACCAGCATTCAGCTAAAAAGAAGCATGCAGATCAAAGACAGGCCAAATAGGACAACTACAGTGGAAAACATGTGGATCACTATGAAGACTCTCGCACACTGTTCTCGGGTTAAAATATTAAATAACACCATGACGTCACTACCTAACCATGTCCGTTGATTGGCCATTCTCTTACCATTAAATATTTTTATATGCATCTGGATGGCATTTGCACCTATTTAAACAAAACATGCATCTTACAGGTTTAAATAACAATGAACTGTTAATGTGCATTTTAAACTATTATTAGAATACAACCATTAACTCCTGGTTATCCCCAACTATGCATACCTGAAACAATCCACCCACTGAGACCATTAGAATAATGTATAAAAAATGACATGGGCCGCCCCCCAAATTTTGCAGAATAGTAACATAATAGGGAAAGAAAATTAGAGTACATTGGATAATTACAGGCAACAACATACAAAGAAAGGAAAGCAATATAATATTGGGAGAGATTATGAGGCATGTGGTATAAATAATCACTTATTTTGCATGTTAAGTTTTTTCTAAAAAGCAAACTCTAATTATAGGCTTATTTTATAAAACACATAAAGGGAAAGCAGCATTTAAACTGAACTATGAATGGTTCCAAATGATGAGTAAGACTCAATATTTCACTAAGAGAACCTTACTTTTGTATAGTGATTTACAGTTTATAAAGCTCCTCTATATGTTACCTAATATCATAAAGAATATGACCATACTAAACATTTTTTGTCACTACAAAATGTTAATTACTATTAAGCCACTGATTTCCTACTTTCAAAGTCATTTTAGGCTTCTCTGAAAAATTCTTAAGTCCTTTACTAAACAAAAATCAATGTGCATACTCTCAAAGAGAATAGGATATTACACTAATTCTAAGATGTTCCAACTTTGGATATGGCTTTCTTTAATAAGCAGATTAATCAGTTACTTTCACAAATGAGGTTAAAGCTTTCCAAGTATTATAAACCTTATTTTGAGTAGACAGGATCTCTGAAAGGACAATATTTTTTAATCTGCAAAGGTAATTTGAAAATTTCATTTACTTACTAATTTGCTTTCCATGATTCTATCATTTTGTAGTGAGCCTGTTACTGAGTGGCAATAAAGCTATGTCAACTTTTCCCTAACTATGTCAAAATTGGATACCATTAAAAATGTACAAGATATAGGTTGGATGGCACTTAGGAACATACATATGCTATATCATTTCTGGTTTTCTCAAAACACATCCTCCTACTGAAAAGCTGTAGGATATTTACAATATAATTTGGTAACATAACCTCATTATTACCATAAGAGCTACAATTTGAAAAAGGAAAAGAGAAAAGATAAAGCTAAAAACAATTCCCTCAATGACTTTTGGAAAATTTTGTTCATGAAATGTAGATCATCAATGTTTTGAAAACCCTACAGAAGACATTTGATTTTAGAAAACTGGCAAGGAAACATGCATAAGTATTCTGCAAAGGTTTGGGAGAGGTTTCTGTAAAGTTTTAATTAGCAATAATAACAATGTCCAAAAAGTAATCCAAACAAGCTCCTTTAATCTTGCTTCAGTTATTTTAAATAACTACAAGTTCCAAATTCAACATAACAAGCTTTTTTTTTTTTTGCCCCTTTTTGGTTTGCATTTAATTTTTCTTTTATTTGATGTTATTCTCTATAAAACCTGAATCTGGATAAAAACAGTCAATCTCAGCAAGAATATTATTCTTTTTTGGCTGCTTTCCAATTCATATCCTGTAGTCAATGAAGTTCTGACACTAAATGGGATCAGCAAAGGAACACTCTTTGAAACTGCAAGGCAGAAACCTTAGAACATATGGCGTGAGACTGTAGTAAATCACCTGTAATCTCCCTTTGACATGGCTACTCTTTTATTGAAAACTTGTTTGACAAAGAGTTTGATTACACTTTGCATTGGCTACAGCCTGACATGCATTATCTCTATAAGAAGCCCTGCTTTGTCAGTTAAGATGTGCAGCATAGTTTTAGGGATGTCTATTTCCTATAAACAAGCATAAAGAGTTTATCTCATAATATGAAATTATCCTTTAGATTGTATCGATTTTTCAATTGTTTGTAAATAACAATGTTAAAATCCTGGAATAGCAAATTCAATTTAGTGCTTTCTCACTAATTTGGAATGAAGAGAAGGATGGACAATTAAGAGTCTATACAAGAGAAGTTATGTGTACTTTTACTATGTATTATTTTTCAAGTAACGCACATTCAGTAGTTCATCTTAGCTAACAAGGAATTGTCTACGAGGAGTCTTAAGACAAATTAGTTAAGTATGACAGCATATTCTTCAAAAGTGCTTTTAAAAGTGTTATTTTTATTGTATATTTTGCTATACATGTTGCAATTTTTACTTTTTCTATATTTAGATAACTATTTTATAAAAAGTAATGTAGCACTAAAAAGCAGCCCAACCAATGTTTCAATGATTAAATATTCAAATTGGCTGAATATTGTTTAATGGCATAATAGTGTTTCTATGAATATATATTCCCTAAGGGTAAAAGAACAAACATATATTTTTTATATATATATATATAGTTAGTTAGTTAGTTAGAGAAGAGTGCTATGAAGATAAAAGAATTTTGGTGAAATGTTTTCCTATCAGAAATGCAAACAAGTTAAAACAAACATAAACAAAATCAAAAGGCAAGTAATAAACTTGGGATATATTTGTAACTTGACAGAAGGTTAAGGTATAGTTATTATACACATTGATCTTATTTATCAATAATAAAAACTTTAACATGCTAATAGAACAATTGAATTTTTAAAAATGAGTAATAAACATAAAATGTTCAGCCTCATCAATATTTATGAAAATGCAAATAAAAACAATGAAATATTATATTTTTAGAGAAATGACAATATCCAGTGATGTTAAAACTGAAATGCTAGTTGGTAATATAAACTTATGCCTTTTTTTTTTTTTGGACAGGCAGAGTTAGAGAGAGAGAGAGACAGAGAGAAAGATCTTCCCCCAAGTGGCCGCTACGGCTGGCACATTGTGGCCGGCGCTGTGTGCTGATCTGAAGCCAGGAGCTAGGTGCTTCCTCCTGGTCTCCCATGCGGGTGCAGGCCCCAAGGACCTGGGCCATCCTCCACTGCCCTCCCTGGCCACAGCAGAGAGCTGGACTGGAAGAGAAGCAACTGGGACGGAATCTGGCGCCCCAACTGGGACTAGAACCCGGGGTGCCGGTGCCGCAGGCGGAGGATTAGCCTAGTGAGCCGCGGTGCTGGCCAACTTATGCCTTCTTAAAAGGTTATTTAGCTAATTGTGTTCAAGACAAAAAAACGTATTCTTGCCTTTTGAGCTAGTTATTATACATTTTTGGAATTCAAACTATAGAAAAATTAATATATAGGTAAGCTATTATAATCAATGTTTATGCCACATAATTACATTATTTTCATTTGCTTAATTTGTTTACATATGTTTTAATGTGATAAAATGGAAAATATGCAAACATACTATTTTTAACCAATTTTAAGTTATGTTACACCAAAGCAACAGAATATTATATAACCAATAGAAATAAATTTTAAAGAATGTTCAACAATGAGTGTTTTTATGATCTACTAAGTAAATAAAGCAATATATAAAATTATATATGCAATATTATCCCAATATGTTTTTAGGTTTTCAGTATGTAGAAGGAAGTATACCAAAATGTTAAATAGCTATCTCTGGTTTGGGATAGCAGAAACGTATTTCAATTTTCCTAAGGAAAACACCTGAAAAGTCAAGAGAAAACAGTAAAATGTGCATATTTCTTAAATGCTTTGCTCAGAACACCTAACCCTCTTACCTGTGGTATACAGTCAGTGTATGCAAACATTGATTTAAAGCGGTCATCCATGCTTATGTGGTAAAGAACACACATTGCTATTTGTTTGTAGTTTTCATTGCCTAAGAATAAAAATCATGGAGAAGGTGATATGTACACATGATATAACATATTCAAATTAATGCATTAAAAATTTTGAACTACTGAAGCAAATCTTTATGTAACCTTAACTTGCAAAATATTTTGAGTCCCCTATTTCAAATCCAAAGTCTACAGCATATTATTTTTATCTGTGAAACACCACTGATTCTCAAGATAATTTCTATTGTACATGATATATTTCTCAAAAAAATTAATCACAATTCAATGAATTAGTCACTGTCTGTAGTCAAATATAAAGTGGATTGGTTCATTGGTCCCCCTGCTCTCACTTTTTAATTAAAATATGTGACTGTCAGTGATGAAGTATAGAGACAGCAAAAAAAAAAAAAAAAAAAAGTGCATTTGATTCCTATGTATCAGAAACTAGAGAAATACAAGGATACAAAAAGTAAAAAAGTATTTATAATAAAAAAAATTACTTGACAATAAAATACTAAAGGTTATAAACAAAGTATGGGAGGGGCTGGCACTGTGGCACAGCAGGTAAAGCTGCTGCCTGCAGTGCTGACATCCCATATGGGTGCCAGTTTGAGTCCTGGATGCTCCACTGTGTCTATTCAGCTCTCTGCGATGGCCCGGGAAAACAGTGGAAGGTGGCCCAAGTCCTTGGACCCCTGCACCCACATGGGAAGACCTGGAAGAAGCTCCTAGCTCCTAGCTTCGGATCTGCACAGCTCCAGCCATTGCAGCCAATTGGTGAGTGAACTAACGGATTGAAGATCCCTCTCTCTCTGCCTCTCCTTCTCTCTTGTTGCTCCCCCTCTTCGTGGAGGAACGACACAGGACCCTGCGCTGTTCTTTTGTCTGCTCGGCCCTTCCCGGGTTTGCTGCTGGTTCTTCCTGGGTTGGCTACCGACCCTTCCACCTCCGTGGAAGGGCGGTTCCCCCTGCCACTTTCCCCACTTGCGCGGGGAGCGGCACACCGCCAGCCAGTTCTCTCGGGGGCTGCTCAAATGTTCCTCAGGTGTTCCTGGTGCATGTTGTCTCTCTCCTCCTTTATAGTCCTCTTCCACCAATCCCAACTCTGCTACCCACACGCCGAGTATGCTGCTCTCCTCCAATCAGGAGCAGGTCCTGCAGCTTGTCAAGTTGGTGAGAGGCAGCTGTGCAGAAGCTGTTTACTCCTCTCCCAGCGCCATATTGTGGGAGAGCAGATGCATAGAATAAGTCTTAATTCGAGTAACTTAGTCTAGTCCGAGTTGCTCCCCACACTCTCTCTCTGTAATTCTGACTTTCAAATAAATAAATAAATCTTTTTAAAAAAAGTATGGGAATATTTTAGAACTACTTTTTTTAAAACCTTAAAACGTATTTACTTGCATTTATTTGAAAAGCATTCACACACACACACACACACACACACATGCAGAGAGAGATAGAGATCTTCTGTTTACTGATTCAATTCTCAAATGTTTGGAACAACCAGGCTGAATCCAGGAGCCCAGAACTCAATTTGTTCTTCCATATGGATGGAAGGGCCCCAAGTATTTCAGCCATCTGCTGCCTCCTAGGGTGCACATTAGCAGGAAGCTGAAATTGGAAGTGGAGCCATACCTGGAATCCAGGTACTCTGATAAGCCATGTGGGCTTCCCCAAGTGGTGTCTTACCACTGCACCAAATATCCATCTCATTACAGAGTTTCTGAGGTAAGATTATTCTAGTCTTATACACTTTGGAACTAAAAATTTAAAAAGTAAATGACATTGTAGATTTGGAAAATAAAATGGGACTTTATGTAATTTAATTTTTCTACTTGCTCTCAGATAAACAATATCGTTATGATCTATTTATGATGTCAAAGTCAGTGACAAAACTAGAGCTAGAAAACTTTTCTTAAAAGTTTTACCTGAAAAAAGTAATATGCCTTTTGAAAATTCTGGACTACGAGAAAACCTTGAAAATATTTGGGGCTAAAAAATCAAGCAAAGTGAATTTAGTGATAAACAATGTAATAAAATGATGCACTAAAAAGACTTTACAATATATTCTAACATATTCAGTACTTTCATCCTTGTGTGTACCATAGTACAAAATTATTAAAATGCTTATAAGTTTTATAAAAAATTATGTGCTTATTTATTTGAAAGGCAGAGAGAGAGAGGGAGGGAGAGAGAGATATCCATCTTCTGTATGCTGCTTCATTCTCCAAATTCCCCAATTGACCCCAACGGCTGGGACTAGACAAGTCTGAAGTCAAATGCCAGAAACTCCAAGGGGCCGGTGCTGTGGCACAGTGGGTTAACGCCCTGGCCTGAAGCGAAGGCATCCCAAATGGCTGCCAATTCGAGACCCAGCTGCTCCACTTCTGATCCAGCTCTCTGCTATGGCCTGGGAAAGCAGTAGAAGATGGCCCAAGTCCTTGGGCCCCTGCATCAGTGTGGGAGACCGGAAGAAGCTCCTGGCTCTTGGCTTCGGATCAGTGCAGCTCTGGCCATTGCGGCTACCTGGGTAGTGAACCAGCAGATGGAAGACCTCTCTTTCTCTCTGTCTCTCCTCTCTCTGTGTAACTCTGACTTTAAAAACAAACAAACAAAAAAAGCCAGAACTCCGTCATGGTCTCCCATGTGGGTAGCAGAGATCCAAGTACTTGGAGCCATCTTTTGCTGCTTTCCCAGGTGCATTAACAGACAGCTGTATCTGAAGCAGAGTAGCCCAGACTTGAGTCAGTGCTCTGATATGGAATGCCAGAGTCACAAGCAGTGGCTTAACCATCTACGCCACAATGCCTGCCTTTTGCTTAGTGTTCTTTAAAAATATTGTTTCACTGAATTTTTTCCTGTATCAGTCATATCTTCCCACGGTAGCTAAAAATTCTTTAGAGGAACTAAACTTTGGTATTCTTACAAGATTTAGCATAGACTTGGAAGTTGCTCAATCAATATCTGCTGTGATTTTAATTTTTAAATATGAAAACTGATAAAATAAACATTTGATGAAAGATAAAAATTGTTAGTTCTAAAGGAGTTTCAGCTTTCAGGAATGTTTTAAGGCATGTCAAGGGTCTTTAAAAATTATTATTTTTTTATTTTCAATTTTAATTGAGAGGCAGAAGAGAGACAGACAGACAGAGATATCTTCAGTTTACTGCTTCTCTTTCCAAATGCCTCCAACAGCTGAGGCTAGGCCAGATAGAGGCCAATATCCTGGAATTTACCTGTGGGAGGCAGAAACCCAAATACTTAGGCCATCACCTGCTGCCTCTCAAGGAACTAAAAATGGAAGCAGAAGCAGGGTGTGAACCCAGCTACTCCAATAAGGGATGTGGGTATCCCAAGTGACATCTTAAAAACTGTGCAAAATATCCACCCCAGGAATCTTTTAAAAGTAAGTAACAAAAACAAACAAAAAAAGGTGACCATTAAGGACCCCAGAGGCACAGGCAATCAAAACCAAAATTAACAAATGAGATTACATCAAATTTAGAAGCTTCTGTACAGCAAAACACACACTCAGGAAAGTGAAGAGGCACTGACAGAATGGGAGAAATTATTTGCAAACAATACAACTGATATAGGATTAATACCTAGAATATGTAAAGAGATCAAGAAACTCCACAACAACAAAACAAACAATCCACTTACAAAATGAGCAAAGGACTTAAACACATTTTTCAAAAGAGGAAATCCAAATAGTCAACAGACATATGAAAAAATGCTCAGGATCACTAACCATCAGAGAAATTCTAATCAAAACCACAATCAGGTTTCACCCCACCCCAGTTAGAATGGTTTTCAAATAGAAATCAACAAACAACAAATGCTGGCAAGGATGTGGGGAAAAAGGTACCCTAATCCACTGTTGGTGGGAATGTAAACTCGTAAAGCCACTATGGAAGACAGTTTGGAGATACCTCAGAAACTTAAATATAGATCTACCATATGTCCCAGCCATCCCACTCCTGGGAATTTACCCATGGGAAATGAAATCAGCAAATAAAAGCATTATCTGTACCCTCCATTTATTGCAGCTCAATCATAATAGCTAAGACATGGAATCAACCTAAATGCGTGTCACCAAAGACTGGATAAAGAAACTATGGGAATACTCTATAGAATACTACACAGCAGTAAAAAAAAAAAAACACTAAAATGTGGTCATTTGCATCAAAATTGATGAATCTGGAAAACATCATACTTAGTGAAATAAGCCAGTCCCAAAGGGACAAATACCATATGTTCTCCCTGATCTGCGACAAGCAATAGAGCACCTAAAAGGAAATTCGTAGAAGTGAAATTGACACTTTGAGAAACAATGACTTGAACACCACTTGTTTTGGCTGTAGAGGAACAATTTTTTTTTTTCCTTAATGGAGAATGGGACTGGGAATGGGAGAGAGAGGAGGACGTGGGGTGGGAGGGTGGGTATGGTGGGAAGAATCACTATATTCCTATAGTTGCATTTTATGAAATTTGTACTAATTAAATAAAAGGTTTCTTTGGGAAAAAAAAAGGTGAACCTTTACCTCCCAACTTTGTAGTTCCTTATCATCATATATATTTTAATCTAATATATAAATTCAAGGAAAGCAAGGACTTTATTTAACCACATTATCTCCAATCACAAGAATGGCAGCCATAACAAAGTAGTTACTTAATAAATAACTGTTGATTGGCCAAGAATGATAATTTATTAAGTATTTATCATATATCAAGAGCCATTCTAAACAGACTACATGGCACCTATTCTTCAAACCAATCTGTCAAAGAGGTGTTAAGATTTTTATTTTTCAAATGAGGAACCTAAAGCTTAGAAAAAAATAACTTGCCAAACAACCTTGTAAGTGGTTGAGCAGGGATTTAAACACGGGTCTCCACCAGGTTTTTGAATAAGCATTTTAACATCAAAAGGTGCTTTTCTAAGTAATTTATTATCTTATGGTATAAAAGACTTATATACACTGATATATATTAGAATAAAACATGCTTCAAAAATAGAATTCTTGGGGTTGGCGCTGTGGCA